AGGACTTGGAGAAAAGTTGGATTTTGCCAGGGACAGGCCGGTGGAGAATTTCTTATGGACTGTGGGGATCATATTTGAACCTCAGTTTGGTAATTGCAGGAGAATGCTAACAAAAGTTAATTCACTTATAACAACAATTGATGATGTTTATGATGTCTATGGTACCTTAGATGAGCTTGAGCTATTCACGGATGCCATTGTAAGGTTTGTGCAGCACCAATTTCTTGGGCTCTCGGGCACATTTATAATTCTATATTAGAATTGCTCACTTGTTTTTTTCTTTCTTGAAAAGAAAAAAAAAAAAACCTTAACTAAAATATTTTTATGTTCTCGTTTCAGATGGGATCTTAATTTCATGGTTCGGCTTCCAGACTATATAAAATTATGTTTTTTTATTTTGTACAATTCAGTTAACAAAATGGCTTATGATATTTTTAAAAATCAAGGAATTGACATCCTACCTTACTTCAAGAAAGCGGTATCTGCTCATCTCTAAATTTTAGTATTATTTTCTTAGTTTTCAGAACTAGTTTAAGGTTTCAGTTTGCGGTATCTGCTCATCTCTAAATTTTAGTATTATTTTCTTAGTTTTCAGAACTAGTTTAAGGTTTCAGTTTGCGGTATCTGCTCATCTCTAAATTTTAGTATTATTTTCTTAGTTTTCAGAACTAGTTTAAGGTTTCAGTTTGCGGTATCTGCTCATCTCTAAATTTTAGTATTATTTTCTTAGTTTTCAGAACTAGTTTAAGGTTTCAGTTTTTTGGTCATTGGGTGAATCTTGGTTTATCATTTTTTTTCTAATTTGTTTTTGAAATAATTCATTTGTTTTTACTTAACTATGATTGAATTTGATGTAGTTGGTCAATCTAGTCATAAATCAATCATCACGTTGTCAAATAACTATCTTAACTCAATAACTTAAACTGTTAGGTGAGGTTTCAAGATATAATTTATATTATTCTCTAACACATCCCCTCAAGTGAAAACTCTTTGGACTTGAAACTTGCACATGTTCATATTACCTTATGCTTGATTTTTATTAAATAAATAAGAATGATGAAATTCAAACTTGTAACCGCTTGGTTATTAAAGCTTTGATATCATATCAAATAATCATCTCAATCTAATAGCTTTAAATTATTAGATAAAATTTCAAAATATAATTTATATTATTCTCTAACACGTGTTGCTATTAAGTCAATATCAAAAATAGTTTAAAATAAAATCTGATTCTAGTTAAATTTCGGGTGAGCAGCTAGATTGGGTTAAGTTTGATAAAAAAAGTTAAAAAAAAAACTGACATGAGTTAGATTTTGAATAACTAGATTAAGCTAAATTTGACTACTATAGTTAGTTTTTAAATATGCTCTCTCCATTTTTACCGCTTTTTCTTTTGGGAATATAAAACCATGGTTAATTTTCAGTGGGCAGACTTATGTAAATCATATTTATTGGAGGCTAAGTGGTACTTCGGTGGATATACACCAACTCTTCAAGAATACATGGACAATGCATGGATTTCAATTGCAGCACCAGTGATTCTAGTTCATGCATATTTTTATGTTTCCAATCCAACAACAGAGGAGGCCTCA